TGAGCTCCTTTTCCCCACCCCGTCAGTGAGTAGTTTTACTATTTCTGTGGTAGTTAAGGCTGTGTTGTCAAATTCCACATCCTGTCTTGGGGTCCTCCAGTGTTCCGGATTATTCCTGTACAACTCTCATGCAGTCAGGTTTATATTTAGTGCTGTAAAATGCTGTGGATTTTTCATAATTGCTTTGTATCTTTGTAGCTGTCATTACACATCACACAGGACAGCTTTACTGCCCTCAAAATTTCTTTTGCTCCCGTTATCCATCTCGCCTCTCAGCCAATGATAACTACTGATCTGTTTTCCAGCTTATTTTGCCTTTTCTTGAATTGCTGGAGTCAAACAAAATGTATCCTTTTCAAACTGACTTCTTTCACTGTGCTACACATTTATTTATGAATCATCTGTGTCTTCATAGCTTGTCAGCTCATTTCTTCTTAATTGCAGACTGGGATTCTATGAATGAACCCACTTGCTTGCCCATTCACCTACAGAAAGATGCCTTGGTTGCTTCAGCTTTTGACAGTGTAAATCAAGCCAGTCTTAACGTTTGTATGTAGGTCTTTGTGAATGTAGGTTTTCCTCTCATTTGGAAATGAGAGGTAGCATAAGGGTGAGGAGCTGTGGTCAGAGTGTGTTTAGTTGGTGGGGAACTGTCCAGCTGTCTTTGTGGGTGTGGTTCCACCATTCTGTCTCACTTCCCTCCTGCACCCACATGCTGATGAGAGTGCCCACATCTTTGGTGTTGCCAGTGCTTTGCATTTTAGTTCTAGTATGCATGAGGTTATAGCTCATTGTTTCAGTGTGCGGGTTCCTGGCTTTGCTGGGTTTTAAGTGGTGAACCAGTTTTGAAAACTGATTTTCTTGGGCCTTTCTCTTCCCCCAGATGACTTGCCTCTGCGTCTCCTACTGACAATGTAAACAGTGATCTGTGGTCAGTTAGCTTGTGATTATACATTTCTAGTGAAGTTACTCCTCCTGCATAATTTATAGCATGCTATTGAGCCTTTACAGTGACGTATACATATAGGTCAGGAGAATCTGCGGAGTGACGGTGTTATCTAGACTATCAGTAGTTCTGTGGTCCCAGATTTCTGCATGCTACTATTGCTGTGACATTGTATTTGGTCTCCTTTGATCTTTCATAGAAAAGCCCAATTGGCTAGTGCCTTACTTTCCATATCTCTGGCATTGGATTGCAGCCTGCCTCCACAGCTTGCTGACCATGTGTCCCTATAGCTTGGTCTGTGCTCCATCCAAGCTTTCCTGAGCCCCTGACCTTGCTCTTGGTTTCTGCCCTTCAGAAGAATGCATGCCTAGCTCTGTCCACATGTCAGCAGCACCTTGTCTTCTGCATAGTTCTGCATTATCTCCGAAGAGGCTATGTTTGCTTTTGTGCCTTACGAGGGCGGAGGTTTCCACCTAACGCTTTATCAAAGCCGTCTATGAATCTCTCTCCTCTCCTTACACTATGTGACTCCTTGAAAATGCACCTGCACCTCTACCTTCTGCTGGCTCTGCTGCCTGTCAGGAGGGTCCAGTCTGCATGGCTTAGCTGGGATTGTATGGTGGGTAGGACTCTTGCCAGTGGCCCCGCCTCCCCAGCAGCACCCAGAAGGATGAAAGTGGGGATGCTCAGCGAGCTGTGGCGTGTGACTGTCAGCTTCATTGGGGTTGTCTGTGGACATAAGCTCCATCCTTTTTGTCACAAGCAGACTCGTGTGCCGGGGATTCTGTTCGTAATCCATTCCAGCAGCTCCTCTCCAGACTTTTCCTCATGAGGAACTCTGTTGTGATTTGATAATGCTGTGCTGGTTAATTTTCTTGGTGCTAAGATAAAGTAGTCTGACAACAGGGCTGGAGAGAGAGCTCAGTGGTTAAGAGCACTGACTGCACTTCCTGAGAACCAGGGCTGGGGTCCCAGTGCCCACATGGCTGCCTGCAATCACCTGTAATTCTGTCCTAGGGAATCTGTTACCCTCTTCTGGCGTCCATGAGCTCAAGGCACATATGTAGTGTGCAGACATACACATGAGTAAAACATCCATGTGCACAAGAAAATACTTGGCAAAAACGATTTAAGGAAGAAAGAATCTCACAGTTCAAGAGTACAGTCTATCATGGTGGGGAGCGTGCTGGTCATGGTGGCAGGAGCTTGAGGCCTTGCATCTGCAGCCAGGAAGCAGAGGACGAAGAACACTGTGCTAGGCCATCTTGCTCCTTTTTTCTGATGGAATGTGACCTGGAAGTGTAAGCAAAGAAATCCTATCCTTCTCCAAGTTGCTTTTGTTCAGTGTTTTATTGCGTTAACAGAAAGCAAAACAGAGCACAGCCCATCATCACAGGGGAAGGCATGGCACGGGTAGCTGCCTGGTGGCAGGAATATACTGCTGGGACACCTCATAGCTAAGCAGACCAAGAAATAGGAGCAGGTCAGGAAGTGGGGGGGCAGTTTGTGATTAGTAAGGCCTTTTCCCTCCTTAGAGTTTCACTTTCCACAGGTAGGCCTCACCTCCTGATTCTACATTTCCTCCAAATGCTCTCAGCTGGGGACCCCGTGTTCGAGCATGTACGCCTGTAGGTGTAAGTCTATAGCTTCATATCCAGGCTATAACTAGAACCAACTAGACCCCCGCCCCTTGCTTAGGGAGTCTGCTACCTGATGGCTGGAATATCACACGCACAGAGATGTTTGGTCAGAAGCTGCTTGCCTTTGCTTTGGTGACCAGGGAGATGCGAGTGTTCCCTGTGATGTGGCGGTCTGTGCACATGCTCCTCTGCCTGCTTCCTTTTCAAAGGTTTTCGTTCTTCAGCAGAAGCACTTTTGTTTCCCACTCAGAAAGCTTTTGGCTCCTTTGAAGAAAGTTGTTAAAACAGATCATGGGGCAGACATTCACCTTAGCCCAGGCCTTCAACAGTCATGGTCATCAGCATCACTGTCGTCTGCATCTTCTTCCACTGGAAGGTCTTAGAGGCAAACGACGCTCATGGAGACAATTTCTTCTGGAATATACCCTAAAAGGCCAATTTGAGGCTGCTTTACAATAAACTTATTTTTTCTAAGTAGAAACACATGAAAGAGGTGATAAAGATATGGTACAGTAAGCATAGTCTATGGCCATTGTGAAATGCTGTATACTGTGTGCAGTATTTGTGCTGGACTTTTATGACTGGCAGTACTGGTTTGTTTATACCAGCATTGTGACACATGAACAAGGCTGTGTGCTGTGGCAGTGCAGTGGCTGCTGCTACTCCTGCTACGCTGCTTGGAAACAGGATTGTTTCCTAGGCTGACCTTGAAGTCGTGGACTCAAGCAATTCTCTCCTGGCTCAGCTCTGTTATAATCTGCTAGGACTTCAGTGGTCAGTCACTGGCTGAAACATTGTTAGGTGGTATCTCACTGTATTAATACCTAAATCACAGAATATATAGAATGCTCACATATATATATATATATAGTAACTAATGCTCATACGTAATGCATGTATATGTAATAACTAGAATGCTTACATATTTATGTAATAACTTTCTGTAATATTTATGTAGAAACTTCACAGAGAAGAATTGGTGGACATGGAAGGAAAAATTGATAAATATGCAATCATGTGAGAGACAGTACTATTCCTTTTTTAGTAGTTTATGGATCACATCCACACACAAAGAAGTACTGAGGTTTTAATGACCCATACCAGCTTCACTTATGTGGTCATCATACAATAACTGCAGCCGGTAGACAATGCTATGCCATAGCGCGTGCTGAGGATCAAGGTCAGGCTCCCCCTGGTAAAGTGCTCCATCACTGAACTATCCTGGTTAGAGATGAGTTTTCGGTTCTGTAGCCCACGATGCCCTTGAAGTTGAATCCTTTTGCTTCTGCCTCTGCCCCCAAGCACTGGGGTTGCTCACTACCACTCCTGTGACACTCTTTACGTTTTGATTGTTAAACCTTGCATCTTGGGTAAAAGTCACTTGGTCTTGCAGACCTATGTATTTCTGGATTTAATTTGCTAGTTTTCTGGTGTGATTTGTGTTTATGAGGTGTTTGTCTCGGGCTTCTGTGAGGTTTCCTACGTGGTTTTGGTGTCAACTGTCGCTGGCCTCATAAAATGTGATAGAATGGAAGAGGACAATGGCATGTCCTTTTCTCCTGTGTTCTCTGGAAAAATTGGTGAAGGACTGACTGCTACCTTAGTTAGAGTTTCTGTCACTGTCTTATGAAACACCACGGACAAAAAGCAAGCTGGGGAGGAAAGGCTTTATTTGGCTTACACTTCCAGATCATTGTCCGTCACTGGAGAAAGTCGGAAGAGGAACTCAAGCAGGGCAGGAACCTGGAGGCAGGAGCATGGAGGGGAGCTGCTTACTGGCCTGCTTTTGCTGGCTTGCTCAGCCTGCTTTCTTATAGAACCCAGGACCACCCACATGGGCTGGGCCCTCACTTATTGATCACTAATTGAGAAAATGCCTTACAGCTGGATCTCAAGGAAGCATTTCTTCAACTGAGGTTTCTTCCTCTCTGTGACTTTAACTTGTGTCAAGTTCACTCTCAGAACCAGCCGGTACAACTGGTGTTCATTCTTTTGAAAACCTTTGGCAGAATTTACAGAAAACCACCTGGGAAAAGTTTTTTCCTAATTCAATCTCTTGTCTCAAGTTTATATTTTCTAGAGTTTTTTTGTTTATGTTTATAGGAATTTGTTAATTTCATCTAACTTTGATACAAATTATTCATGTGTTACCTTATTCTTTTGTCTTTGTAAGTTTAGTAGTAATGGCCTTTATTTCTTGATTTTAGTCCTCTTTTTGTTAGTTTAGGGATAGGCTTGTCAGTGCTTTTTAAGGAACCAACTTTTGATCTTATTTTCCTGTCCTTCCATTTATTTTTAATTCTGAAATTTACTGTTCCTTATGATTGTATTTGGTTTAATTTTCTCTCCTTTTTCTAGTTTCTGGAGGCACACACTTCACTTACTGATTTGCAATTCTTCTTTGTCAAATGCAGGTGTTTTCGCTGTAGTGAAACCCTGCTCTGCCCTCCGGTTGCTGCTGCTGGCTCCTGACCCTGAGCTCTTGCGGAAGCTGGGACTGGGATGAGAAGAGGGTAAGTTAGAAATGCCACAAATGTGCTCTGCTTACTATGATCCGGTTGTTTTTCCTTGAATAAATAACTCTTAGATTCCTCCAGCCTTTTATTTCCAGAGTTCTTAAGCAGTTAATTGGGAAGACTTGCTTTGTTTACATGGAAGAGAGAGTCTGAAGGTGGCTATTGCTCTTCCATCCCCACTTGTGTAGTTTATGCTTAAGAATTATTAAAAAGAATGTGATTACTATAAGGTGTTTTATGGACGTGGATTATACTGGCTTATAAATATTACAAAGAAATGAACTGTATAAAGTTTGCCAGTCAGTTTTGGGAAAGAACAGCAGTGTAGAATCACTGATTACAATGTCAAATATTCCAAGAAGCAGAGGAAATGAAAACGGTGTCACTCTAGTGCAGAGCCCCCTTCTTTCAGAGCCACTAGAGAGTCTGGAGGCAAGTTCCTCAAAAGAAAGCTTGTCGACAGAGAAGATGCGCTGGGTATCCGTGTCCAGGCAGGGTGTGGAGACCAGCAGTGCTCCAGCCGTGGCTATCTGGGTATTCACAAGTCTCTGCCCTGAGCTAGGCCAGTTGTCCCTTGCGTCTGGGCCTGTATTTGATGCTGAGGAGAAGGGTTGTTTCTGCAGGGGAAAGCTCCTGGGTTTCTACACCTGAGGCAGGGAGCACCTAGAGTTGCTATTGCTTGGGGAGTTGAGATAACCCAGGAACTATGTGGCAAGAAAATCTGTACTCTTGAAACAAAGTATGAACAAATCTTTCCATTGTGAGGTCCTCAGTCATGACACTACATCTGGGAGCTAACAGAGGGCCAAATTTCTAAGGTAAAGTTTACCACATGTTGAAACTGAAAGGCTAATAGACGGGAACAGTGACTTGTAGTCAAGCGACCAGCAGGCTCAGCACTTACGGTTTGGCAAACTAGTGATGAGAAATGACAAAGGGGTTTAATACCCAAGAGGCTTTTGTTCTGGAACAGTCACTACTGTTTGTTCTTTAAGACTCAGTAGGCTTTATACTAGTCTGTAATTTGTGTCCCTGTTAGTGAATATTCTCTTGAATACATTGGCGTGAAAACCTACCAATCTAAAATTTGTGTCACTGTTAGTGTTAGTCTCTTGAATACATTGGCAATGAAAGCATGCAAGAAATGTGGTGACCACAACATTTATGGCTGAATTTAGATCTTTGAAGATGCTGGCATATATCAGCTCCTAGCTATTCTTGTAGGGCCATGGGAGCCTCACTTGCTGCCTTTTGTATATAAGGATAACTTCAGTGATCCTGAAGTTCTGGCTTAGATCACTAGAGAACAGACTGTACACCAGCCAGCTGTTGAGCTAGACCACTTAGTTGCATATTCTCAGATGGTTTAGACCTTGAGTTCTATCTGATTTATGATTCAGAGTTGAAATGAATGACTCTTATAGTCTTGCATGCTGGGATAACTGTCTCTTGGCCAGAGCTTCCTTTCAATGGAAGCCTTGTAGTGGCATCAGACATTTGAGGGTGTCCTGTTCACTGGTGACCCACTCCCTTCAGCCAGGTGGAGAGTAGTAGTAGTAGAGTCTAAACTCTTGGACTCAGGCATGTCCACGAGTATTTCTGGTGAGAACTGGAGGCAGACCTTTGTATACTGAGTTCATTGTGGTTTTCATCCCTGCTTCAGTGTTAGCATGACCAGATTCATTTAAAAATAATTCTAGTTTGAAAATCCCGAGTTTCTTCTTATGTGCTCAGCTACATTTGCAGTGTCTTTGCTTTCTTTTTGTGTTCCTCCCGTGTCTCATCAGTCCCATGCATATGCTTGTCTGATGTTGAGCCCAGCCCCCAGCAAGCTCAGAGTGAGGCTGCCCTGCCATTCCTAGACAGAGTCAGTGCATGGCATCACTGTCAGCCATCTCAGAGACTCATAACTTGAGAAGATTTGGAATACTGTGTTTGTGCCATGAAGCCCCGAGCCTGGGAGTGTCATCATGTCCCAGGATGGCCTTCAAATCAGGTTTCCAGAGGGCACATTGTTCATCTGTATGAGAAACTTTAAAAACATTTATGGACTTGTGAAATTTCTACCCTTCTGAATTTACGTCTAGGATATAATCAGAGAAATACTAATTTTATGTACAGAAAACACTTATTATAGTATTCACTTAAATAATTAACAGTTGGAAGTGAGTCAAATGCCCCGAAACAGTAGAGGATTAAGTAAATGAGTTATTGTATTTCTATAGCACAGTGGAATATTAGATTGCAGTTAGTGTTTATAGAACTGATTCAGGACATGAAAAGAAACATACCTAGTACACGGGTACATGTGAATAGCATGTGTAAAAGTAGTGAATGGAACATAAAGTCAGCTGTGTGTACGTGTGTATGGTGTATGTACATGAACACATGAATTTTAAAACCCTAAGAAGAACAGCTAAAGGCTTGTGATGTCTCTCTGAGAGGTGGGGTCAGTGTTGTTCAGTTTCACACATTTCTGAAATTTTCTCAATGGGCCGATGTTACTTTTATGTTCATGGGAGAAAGGACATATGCTTTTAGTTTAGAGAATAATTACGTGACTATTAACCTGCTCTTCGAGTCCTTATAGGAATGTTTTTCTAAGTAGTCTCCAGTAACAGATGTCTGGTTTTCATAGACAGATTTCTTTGAGCCACAACAAATATTAAAAGGCTGTAAAGGTGTATGTTAAAATTATAACATACATGCATATGTGGTAAATTACTCTGAGAGGACACACGGTTGATGTCATTTTGTTTTAAAACAGATGTTAATTATGATAAAATACTTAGAGAAAAACACGCCACCGTCAGCCCTTCTGTGGGAGAATTGGGGTACTTTTAAATGTATTTCTTGTGCTTTCCAGTGTTTCCCAAGGCCTCCACACACAGAACAGGCCTACGTTTTACAATGGCCCATGCCAATAGAGAGCAGGGTGTGGGTGTGTGGCCTGCTGTCTGTGCAGGGTCTGCTTATATGGGGAGCCAGCTGGCCTTTGAAGGTCTGGGACAGACCTGGGCACAGCTGACTTCTCTGTCACTGATTACCATATGGTAGGTTGTCTGGAAAATACGGCAGATATTTTTAGGTAATGTTAGTGAGTGGGCAGATAGATTGAGTCTCATAATGAGAATGACCCACTCTTAAGGCTAGAACTAAAAATGAGGAAGTTTAAGATGATTCTAACCTATGTCCACACACAATGACACCAAACCTTTCCAAACCATTGGAGGCTTATCATAAAAAATACCCACATAATTAGAACATTGAGACATGTGTATGCGCATCTATGCCTACACTTAACCTAAAGTGTGATCCATTGTAAATAAAATAAAGTAACCACAACAAAAAAATACATCCTCTCTAGATGTGGCCAGGTGCATGGGAGGAGGCACTAACCTTCTCCATGGGGGATTTCTCAGGCCTGAATATCTGCATGGTGGAAAGGGCGCAGGCTGATGCCAGGCCAGCATCAGCTAGTCCTTTGAGGTCTGCATCCTCCCACCTCCACAGATGCGTCAGGGCCACACATTGTCCTCACAGTGCTATTTTTTGAGCTGGAGGAGTAAACAAGCTCATCCCCAACTATTTCCTTCTCTGTTGCTCCGAGGCTTAGAGTGCTAATTATTTAGAAATGGTAATTGTACCAGTGAATCTGTGATGGGAATTGAGCTGGAGCATCCTTGCCTGTCCTCCCCCAGTAGAAACCCTTGAAGCCCTGCTCTTCCTCCTCCTGAATCTTGTCAGCACTGCAGCGCTCTCATCCGAGTCTGCAGTTGGAGACAGGGTAATGGATACTCTGTCCCCTAGATCCACAGAAAGAGTCAAGGTCGCCCCCTTCCTGAAGTCAGATCCTCACCCTGTCTGCTTAGTTTGGGAGTTTCTTTATCCATGAACCTCAGCGCCTACAGACACGTTTAGCAAAAATGTCACCAGTGAGGGCCTAAGCACCCCATTTCCAGATGTGTCCATCCATAGTACACCTCACCCAGTCCCAAGGTATCAATGCGGCCTGTGGAGTGGTCGGGTAGAAGTGCCCACAGGGCAGTCCACAGTGCTGCCCTCCCTGGGCTGGTCTTTCCCCATGTGCCCCTTGTTTATCCCCTGCTAATGGGGAAGCTCCAGAAGCCCACCCCGTGTCTGGAGGAGCCTCAGTCCTACCCTGGCATGGCATGGACACAAAAGCCCATGGAAGATGCTAGCTGCGCACTGAGGATGTGCAGGGAACCAGGCACATTAGGTGTTTGCTTGTTGCTATGGCAGAGTGTGGTGCCAGGGACCAGAGCAGGGGAAATCTGGTGTTATCTTGGAACCTCAAAGGGTTTAGAAGAACCCCCCTTCCTTAGCAGGTTGCTGACTGTTTTTGGCTGGTGTGATATAGAAGATACAGCTATATCCAGAAGGAAGTCTACTCTTGCAACATGCTCTGGCTAGAATACTGCACTATGCCACAGAACTGTGTGCCCAAAGTAGGAAAATTCCAGCTAAGAACTCAAGGAGGAGAGCACGATTGTCTGTGCCATTCTCAAGTTTCCCCAAGGCATAGCACTTTACTTTTACTTTTGCCTTATCGGTAGTGTCTGCTCTAGAAACAGTATCCTGATGAAAAAGTTCTGTTGTGGATGAGCAGTTTCACCTAAGTGCTGAGGTCTACATGGAAACCTATGCCAGTGCGAGAGCCTGGCTCAGCTTGTGCCAACTGGATGCCCTTAGGACCAAGTGCATGCGGGAACTTGCAGAGACCGGAAAAGGGGATCCCATTCCCCAGAACTGGAGTTTCAAATTGTTGCTAGTTGTCAGCTGGGTGCTGGGAACTGAACTGGGGTCCTCTGCAAGTGCAGCCATCATCCTCTCTAGTCTCCTTCTTACATTCTCTTAAAGGTCTCACTTGCATGTTGTGCTAGTGTCTTGCTGGCTCCTCGTGTCTGGCTTCATGTCAGGGTACATGAAGCCCCTGTAACTGGTCCAGAGCCAATGGCAGTGTGAGTTACGGCCTT